AAGACGACATACAGATAGCTAACATACACGTGAAAAGATGCTCAACATCACCTATCATCAGAGAAATGCAAATCAAAACCACAATAAGGTATCACCTCATGCCTGCCAGAATGGCTAAAATAAAAAACACAGGAAACAATAAGTGTTGGTGAGGACGTAGAGACAAAAGAACTGTCATGTACTGTTGGGAATGCAGACTGGTGCAGCCATTGTGAAAATAGTGTGGAGCTTCCTTAAGAAATTAAAAACAGAGCTACCATATAATCCAGTAATTCCACAACTGGGTGTTTACCCAAAGAATACAAAAATATGAATTCAGAAAGATATGTGCAGTCTTATGTTTAAGTGGCATTATTTACAATAGTTCAATTATGGAAGCAGCCCAAATGTTCATTGATAGATGAATGGATAAAGATGTGATACACACACACACACACACACACACACACACACACACACACAGGGAATATTATTCAGCCATAAAAGGATGAAATCTTACCATTTGCAACAACATGGATGGATGTAGACAGTACTATGCTAAGTGAAATAAATCAGAGAAAGACAAATACCATATGATTTCACTCATATGTGGAATTTAAGAAACAAAACAAATGAACAAAGGAAAAAAAGAGACAAACTGAAAACCAAACTCTTAACCATAGAGAACTGATGGTTACCAGAGGGGAAGAGGGTGGGGGATGGGAGAAATGGGTGAAGGGATAATAAAAAGTACACTTATCATGATGAGCACCTAGGAATGTATAGAATTGTTGAGTCAGTATATTGTACATCTGAAACTAAGGTAACACTGTATGTTAACTGTACTAGAATTTAAAAAATACGTATGTGCGTAAGGAAAAATATCAAACAGAAAGGCATTAAAAATGTTAAATATGTCTATCTTTGAGTAGGATCATGGGTGATTTATACGGTCTTGTGGGATTTTTCTTTTTTGTGTGTGTGGCGTTTTTCTGATCAAAAATCACTTATATAGTGAAAATAGTATTATAATCAGAAAAATTCATTTAAATTATATGTAATAAATTATAATAAATCAATCAATTATAAATTTATGCAAATAAGTATAATTTAAAAATATGTAACACGATGTATTTAATATAGAGAAAGGCCCATTTACTACAGCAGTATTTAGTGTAAAAAATTTGCAATTAAAGAATTCCTTGGTGTTTTTTGTGAGAGTACGAGTGATGAATTTTTAAAAACGAACGTGACTGTAACCTCTCCACAAAGACTGCTGTGCCACACAAATGGCCCTGGGCTTTATCAGAGGAGGCACAGAGCTATAGAGCCTCTTCCTCTCTTTAAGATCCTGAGCTTGATGGGGCCCCTGGGTGGCTCAGTCGGTTAAGCAGCTGACTTCAGCTCAGGTCACGATCTCGCGGTCCGTGAGTTCAAGCCCCGCGTCGGGCGCTGTGCTGACAGCTCAGAGCCTGGAGCCTGTTTCAGATTCTGTGTCTCCCTCTCTCTGACCCTCCCCCATTCATGCTCTGTCTGTCTCAAAAATAAATAAACATTAAAAAAAAAAAAAAAAAAAAAGATCCTGAGCTTGCTCAGCATTCTGTTGAGAAGCGGCCAAGCCAACCCAGGGCAGCGTCCCCAGCAGTGAGGTCCCATGAGGGGAGGTCCCCGTGGGAGGGGGCCGGGCTGCAGAGACGCCAGGGAAGGAAGCCTGGTTAGTCAGGTGGAAATATGGGAGTGGTGCTGGAGTTGAGAAGTCTCTGGTGGGGCTGCCACATATTTCTTGTGCCAGGGATGAGAAGAAGCAGAGGGTAACTGCTGTGTCAACACAGAGAACGCAGGGCTCCTAGGGCTGGGAGGTCACGGGGAGGAAGATGGGTAGGCAGTAGTGAGAGGCAGCGGGGAGGAGACATCTGACGTTGAAGCCTGTTCCAGGCGTATTCAAAGACCATCCCTGAAGGCTCAGGAGGCCGGAACGTCGATATTAGCCCAAAGACCCTTTGAGGCTGCCACACTGTGGTCAGCTGTGGGCCTCGGAGTAACCATAATTTTCATGGTGGATAAATCCAGTTCAATTTTGGTGTCATTTTCAGTAGCATTCAATGAATGCTTACTCTGCTGTTTGATTTTGAATTCATTTAGTTATTTATAACTCAGCACCAGATGTACTGGCTAAATTCTAGGGATTCACTGGGAACCCAATCCAGTCATCACGTTCCCTTACCTCATGGAGTTTTAGAGTTGGACGGGAGAAGCAGATCTTAATCACATAATCACAAATCCAAACGTGATAAGCAGTTCACAGGAGAGCCACATAATCATGCTAGGAGAGCTAAGAGATTTTTGTTTTAAAGCTAGTTTAAGCTTTTTTTTTTTTTAAGTTTATTTTTGAGAGAAAGAAAAAGTGTGAGCAGGGAAGGGGCAGAGAGCAAGGAGGAGAGAGGACTGGAAACGGGCTTATGCTGACAGCAGAGAGCCTGATACAGGGCTCAAACTCATGAACCGTGAGCTCATGACCTGAGCCAATATCCGACTGAGCCACTCAGATGCCCCAGAGAGCTAACAGATTTAATATACGTGGGTATAGCTTCTCTGACGCAGTAACACTATGGGATCCCAAAGATGGATAGAGTCATCTTATTCAGGCAGAGGATTCCAGAGAGACAGAAGAGCATTTGCAAAGGTCCTGTGGCAGAAAAACATGTAGCCATCATGAGGGACTACAGGAAGGCAGTGTAGTGGTTGCTTAGGAGTGATGAGCTCTGTGAGAAAGAAGTAAGGTTCAAGAAGTAGGCAGGAGCCAAGGAGGCAGTGTAAACCATGGAAATTAGTTTGGTCTCTACCCTAACTAAAAGTAAAAGTAAGGGAAGCCACTGAGTGGTGTCATAATCCAAAGAAATGGGAATAATCGCAGTTGGTTTTAAACTGTTCACCTTAATGCCATTCATTCAGCTCTGGCTTATTTGCTTTACAGGTTAGCTTTCTGAGAAAGTTCTGTGAAGGAAGAGCAGCTAGAAAAATGTTTGAAATCAACACTGGGCTTATACAATGCCTCTGGGCAAATTACAAAAAGGCATCTCTTCTTTAAGATGCTTTCCTTCTTTTATTGGCAAATTGTCTTGATTATTGATTTTGTTAGAGCAAAACTCTTTATTGCTATCTTCCAGAAAACTGCCATAATAAATGTAAAAGCCCCCGATTTTTATGACGTGAATGTGCTTCCTTAGATGTAGCACTTTTGTGCAGTCCACACTCGCACAACCATCCTCAGTGACCCTAGATGTCTAGTAATCAAAGAGAAAGGAGAAGAGCAACTTTTTCTTCCTTGAAATAAAATAGCATACTGTGTAAATGTAATAAAAATGCAATTTTTTTGGTCTTCTGAGGCCTAATTTAACCAAAACTAATTTTCTAATGCTTACCCATGCTGCCTAGGTTTAGTGCTGGTGGGACAGAGTAAGGGTCTTCAAATGGCAGAAGGAGGGCCCCTTCTCCATGGCTGGTTGGATGGGGGAACAAGAGCTAACAAGAGTTTACACTGAAAATGACACATCTATCAGATCTGGGGTCCAAAGAGGAAACCATGGGGCCACACTGCAACCACAGTTAACCAAAAGCCGTCCTGACTCTGTGTGCCAGCAGACCACGAGGGTGTGAAACATCACAGGCCATGTAAGAGCTCCGAGCCATGCAAGAGTCCCAGTTTCATTAAAATTGTAAAACATATCTTTTTTTTTTAAGGGGTGCTAACATTTTTTTAAAGTTTATTTTTTGAGAGAGAGAGAGAGTGAGAGAGAGAGCGAGCAAGCATGAGTGGGGGGTGAGCAGAGAGAGAGGGAGACACAGTATCCGAAACGGGTTCCAGGCTCTGAGCTGTCAGCACAGAGTCCGACGCGGGGCTTGAACTCACAAACTGTGAGATCATGACCTGAGCCAAAGTCGGACATTTAACCGACTGAGCCACCCAGGTGCCCCAAAATTCTAAGACATATCTGCACAACTTTGCCCGAATGGGTTTTGTGTTATTGTAACATTCCACTTCTCAACCAGAATCTCTCCATCTAAGCCTGTTTGTTTGCTTGTTTGTTTATTTATTTGGTTTATTTAGTTTGAGAGAGCGCATGCAAGTGGGGGAGGGGCAGAGAGAGAGAGGGAAGAGAGAGAGAAGAGAGAGAAGAGAGAGAGAGAGGAGAGGGAGAGAGAGGGAGAGAGAGAGGGAGAGAGAGGGAGAGAGAGGGAGAGGGAGAGAGAGAGAGAGAGAGAGAGAGAGAGAGAGAGAGAGAGAGAGAGAGAGAGAGAGAGAGAGAGAGAATCCCAAGAAGGCCCTGTGCTGTCATTGTGGAGCCTAATGTGGGGCTCAAACTCACAAACTGTGAGATCATGACTGGAGTTGAAACCAAGAGTGGGACGCTTAACTGACTGAGCCACCCAGGAGCCCCTCTCCTGGGTGGCTTAAATTCACAAACATTACTTTTCAAACCTACACCAAGAAGTAGCAATAAAATTCTCATATATATTAATTAGTAAGCATGCTAGAAATTGATATACACACTGAACTTAATACACAGTTGCTCTCTCATCCCATTTCCAGTTTCAATGTTTTCTCTTTTTCATTAATATTTATTTTGAGACAGAGCATATGTGTGTGTGCGTGGGCGAGGGAGGAACAGAGAGAACGTGCACGAGAGAGAATCCAAAGCAGGCTCTGTGCTGAGCACAGAGCCTGACACAGGCTCAATTTCACAACCATGAGATCATTACCCAAGCTGGTCAAGAGTCAGACATCCAACCAACCGAGTCACCCACGCACCCCTCCATGTTTTTTCTTAAATGAAAATCATTACTCTCATGGATTTGTCTCAAAGACCGTGACAAAAAAATAAAAAGAACACCCTGTGGTCCTCTCCCATCCGGGTCTCTACCCTACTATCTTAAGCTATTATCTTTGATCCTGCCTTCAACATCTTCAGGGACACATCATTTTCCAGCACAGCAGCTGGGGAAACCAAAGGCACACTTACTGCTCCCTGGACGGAAGACGAGCCAGGTCCTTCGTCCTCTTCCCCGTCTGGCTCCTGGTCCTCGTTGTCAGTCCAAGAGGACACGTCCTCTACTGAACTGGTCAGATCAGGCAAACTCTTAGATGTCAACCTCAGGAGGTCCTCTGTGGAGCTTTCCTAGGGGGACACAATTAAAGGGCTATGAATTACCCCATGGCACCAAGCAGTTCTGGATCAAGGTCAAGGAAAACCTAGAAGAGGCAGCTGTGAGCGTGGCCACGAGCTCTGAACCCAAAGACCGTATGGAATGTATGTCCCACACTTCAGGTTGGCAGGGTTACCACACGTCAGGGGTGCAGACCCAATTTAAATCCCAACCAATTTTTTCTTTCCCTGAAAAACCTGTTTCATAGACAGATGTTTCTACAGGCAATCCAAATTCTCTGTCCTTTAGATTCTTTGATACCCTGCCTTACTTTACACTTTAAGCCCCCTCACTGGCAGGTCAGGATCTTAGAGCAGTCGCTTCTGCCCAGCATTCCAAACACACCTCCCTCCATTGTCCCCTCCAATCCATACCTTCCGTGCCAGCCGTACTGACCTTCTGACATGCCAGGCTCTCTCCTGCTCTACACCCTTTTCCACCAGCAGCTCCCTCTGCCCAGGGAGCTCAGTTTTGCAGATCAGCTTTAGCACCCTCCCCTGCAAGCCTTCCTGGATGAGCTCAGGAGCCATTCTGCATGTCTTTCCCTTCTTCCCAAATGTCCTTTACTGTTTCTTTCATCGCCCTGCATGTATGTCTAAGTATGCCTATCTCTCCTGCTCATCGGAGCGTTCCCCAAACTGAATGCCATTTCTACTCTTTGCTGTGTCCCCAGGCCCAGCACACAGCTCTAATATCCATGTGCTCCTCCCCCTCACTGCTCATCTCACTAGCATACGAGATTTCATTCACTGAAAAGAGATCAGACTGTTGATTGAATCATAACCCCCAAAGTGGAGACTGATAACGTCTCTTCAAAGAAAGAAGCCCTTGAACACTTTTTAGAGGTCAACAAAAATACATGGAATCAGACTCCATTTATTTTATTTTTTTTAACATTTCTTTATTTTTGAGACAAAGAAAGACAGAGCATGAACGGGGGAAGGTCAGAGAGAGGGAGACACAAAATCTGAAACAGGCTCCAGGCTCTGAGCTGTCAGCACAGAGCCCGACGCGGGGCTCGAACTCACGGACCGCGAGATCATGACCTGAGCCGAAGTTGGCCGCTTGACCGACTGAGCCACCCAGGCGCCCCCAGACTCCATTTAGATTAGAGTATAAAGAAGGCTTCATCATAGCCCTTCCTTCCTACACACAGACTAGGCCACAGGGGTGAGTGGGATGCAGGCAAGGTCACAGAGGCCACTTGACAATCTCACATGCAAGTGAGGTGCACACAGCCGCCGAGGACTCTTGGGGAAACACCACAGCATAGGAGGCCAGGGAGTAGGGGTGGCTGATCTGAGGCCATAAAAGAGAGAAATGCATCCTCCCCTCCTTCTCCACAGCTGTTTCTACAGGAAGGAAGCATGTAGAAAGTTTTGATCATCATATTCCTCGGGGCTTGACAGAAAAGAGAACAGTAACACAAGACGCCCATCTTAAACAACAGGTGTTACAGACTATTAGTGAGTAGGTATACTGGTGACAGTGACACTTGTTACTAGTTTGATGCAGGTCCAACTTTGGAGGTACCTGAAGCTCATTCCTGTCAGGTCAGTAATTGTGAATACTACACAGTTAGACCTTATCTGAGGGAAGGAGCAAAAGCTATGAAGCAAAAAGTGAGTTCAGCTCTCTTCTGTGATGTCAACTCTGCTAGACCATTAACAGAAAAGAGTTTTTAAAAAAAGATGAAGGTCCCAACTGGTGAGTAAGTTGCACAACAGGACAGAATACTCCATGGTCATTAAAAATGGTGCTACAGCAACGTACATTCTGAGGTGGAAAGACTCTTACGGTATGCTACTTAGTGAAAAAGGCAGATGGAAAAGCAATATTGCCATATTAATAATGGATGTAACAATAAGCTGGATGTGTTAACATGTGATAACCATAAAGGCAAACCTTTCTCCACATGCTTGTTGCAACCAGCTGCATTGTTTGGGCTCTTTATATTTCATTCAATCTTCCTGATATTCCACGAAGCAGTTATGGATTCTTATTATCCAGGTGAGAACCCCAAGGTTAAAAAAAATGTAGTAATGTGCTCAAGATATACAGTTTTTATTTATTTTTATTTTTAAATTTTATTTTATGTTTTTATTTGAGAGAGAGAGAGAGAGAGAGAGAGAATGCGAGTTGGGGAGAGGGACAGAGGGAGAAAGAGAGAGGGAGACAGAATCTTAAGCAGGCACCATGCTCAACACGGAGCCTGATGTGAGGCTCGATCCAATCATGACCCGAGCCGAAATCAAGAGTTCAACGCTCAACTGACTGAACCACCCAGGCGCCCCAAAATGTACAGCTTTTTTAAAGGCTGTGCCTCTGAAGTCTATGCAGGTCTGCCTCCAGGGGCAATCCATCTCCTTGTGTTTGACTCCATTAAAAAAACACGTCTGGAAGGACAGACAAATAAGTTAATGGAAAGAATTACTGGTGGCATTATGAAAATTTTATCTTCCTTTTCTTCTAGGTTTTCTACATTAGATATAATAAATGCGTATTACTTGTTAATAAAAACAAAGTGATAAAAAGAGAGAAATCATATTGCTACGCATGTACTTCCAGGAATATGAAAGCAAACTTGGATATTCTGATTTCATTCGTTCAACAAAAACTTTCTAAGCTCCCATGTATAAGCAAACAACATATTTGTGGGGAAACACAAGACATCCTGTCCCGAAGAAAGTAACTGTTATATCTTCAAAACAACACCCTAAAGTTTGGGGACAAAGGGACTGTGTTCTACAATAATAATTTATATTCTTACTATTCTTTCTATTCAGCAAATAAAAATCTCTTTTTTTCCCCTCCCTCTCTTCAAACATAAAGAAAAAATAAAGACTGGATTACTCGCTCTTGTTGGATAAAGATGAGGAATGGATGCCAGGAGGTGTGGAAAGGCAGACTTTTGAGCATCTGGGATGGCGCCGATTAAGTTCAGGAACAAAGAACGGGCAGCTGCTATGGCAACGTATTGCCTGGATGGAAACAGAGTCAATGGGAAGAGGTGAAAGGTGTCACTCCTCTGTGGTCTGGGTCATTTTTAGGCCCATTATTCAGTACAGATGGCCAACAGCAATAGATTGACAATGGGAACACCCATTCCTGGCTCCAGACTGCTGCTCAGCCTTACAAAGACCCAGTGAGTGTCCTTCAAAGTCAAAGCCTTGGGGTGCCTGGGTGGCTCAGCTGGTTAGGCATCAGACTCTTGGTTTCGGCTAGGGTCACGATCTCATGGCTGGTGAGTTCAACCCCTGCATCAGGCTCTGTGCTGACACCCTCTCTCTGCTCCTTCCCTGCTGTCTCTCTCTCTCTCTCTCTCAAAATAAACAAATAAACTTAAAAAAAAAAAAGTCAAAGCCTCTAGCAGGAACACATTACCTCTCTCTAATACCATTGGCTCTGTGTCCTTTCTATCTTATTTTACTAACAGACAGCTTGGTATATGGAAAGAAGTTAATGTTGAAGTCTTATGGACCCGCAATGGAACATGCTATTGCCACCCATTGCTTGTGTGACCTCTGGGTCAATTAATTAACCCCTCAGATTTTGACTTCATCTTTTGGAAAAAAAGAACGAATAGCTCTCTCATGGGATTTCAAGAATTAAATGAGATCATAGGTAAAAAGCACCTAGCATCCAGTGTGTCCCTGATACACATTAGTGCCCTTTCTTTGAGTCGGTGAACATGACCACAGATCAGGCATCATCCAGGAGACCAGCCTTCAACACCCTCCTGTACTCTCCTTAATTATGCTTATCCACAAGTGGACCTTTTTCGTTTTTATTTTATGTTTTCTTTGCTCTGTGTGTTTGTGGATAATAGCTTGACATAGAAGAGATTCCCCCTTCTCCATTTTCTGAACTAGCAGGAGAAAGAAGTCAGCGTAGAAGTAAAGGTTTGGTGGCCGTGGTATAATGCATGTGCCGGAGCCCCTGTGTTCTTGAGCCATAGACTGTGAGGAGACAGCAGGGCTCCCGGCGGTATCTCTGGGAGGGGAGGAGAGCACCTGTGAATGGAGGCTGTCTCAACTCCTGCCTCCGGGGCCTCAAAGCCAACCCTTCCTCCCAAGTCTGTGTCAAGGCTCTGTGTTCTCGTTGGAAGCCTGAGAATCCGGGTTAAGGGATTGGGGTGAAAGGTGTGAAAAGAGGAAAACAGATTTTTCAGATAGTTTAAAATATTCTAATTATTAAATACTCCAAAAATAGGCACTAGAGCTTGTAATCTAAGAGAGAAAATACAGAAGAGCCTGTGGATGCGAGGTTCAAAAAAATAGCAGGGATAACGAGGAAAGAATGAGCCACGCTGGCAAGAGCGTATTGCTGCGAAGGGTGGAGCACTGGGGTGGTTTCCCACCACTGCTTACAGGAACTAGAATGAAGCCCAGGTTCCACTGTACTAGCTCCTGAGTCCTATGGACACTTTCCTGTCTTATCAACAGCAGACGGGACCACGGGGCAGAAGCAAGAGGGTTCAGGTCCTCCTCCTTTTGGTCACACAGCTGTGGAGGCCTGCAGCCTTCATCCAGGGCGCTAAGACACCAGGGGACAAGCAGATGCTGGGGCCCAGGACCTCAGTGCTATTTTAACACACTCTGGGGATGGGGATACAAGAAACACCAGCCTGAGCCCCTTATGAAAAGGAGGTGGCAGTCAGAGGAAGGGGACAGATACTGGCTGTGCATCAAGAAGATAGCAGATAGCATCTAGGCCTCTGTGAGATGGGAACCAGCCATGGGAGTTAGTCCTCACTGGCTCCTTGGGGAAACTGAGGATGGAGCGGAGGATGGTGACCAGACAAACAGGATTCACAGGGCTTCCTGCAGCACCAACACTCCGTGAGGCCATGAGTCAGAACCAGGGCCTGTGGCCTGCCTGTGACTAGCCCTAAACCTTTCTTCCTTCGGGACCTGGAAAATGCACAGCTCCAGGCCTCTGGCATCCCTGCCATCCGGCGGGCTTCCATGTCTCTTCTTCAGTGTCTCCTTGGGAGAGAGGCTACTCTCTCCACCTTGAATTTCTGTCCACCCTACCATCCTTCCCTTTTCCTTAGTCTGAGCACTGCTCTTCCATCTACTATTTCAGCTAAAGGCCGTCCTCATGGGCTTACACTATAGAATCACAGCTGTTTAAATGGCCCAAGTGCGAGCATGTGTGTCAGTGTTTGTGTGCGGGATGGGGAGGGCTCAAATCTGAATTCACCACCATCATTAAAAATAGATATAAAAAATAACCAAACTACCTACCTTGCTGGCTACCACCAGCTGAACCATTCCAGTGGCTGAGCGAAGAATGGCCACCGCTTCCTCATGGGAGAGACCCACCAATAAGTGACCATTGATTACCAGCAGCTCGTCTCCTAAGGACAGTCTGCCATCCCTGAGGAAATGGAGATGGGAAAAAAATCCCTTGTGAAGATATTCTGGGCTTGAGAAGGGACATTTTCCTGGAGCTGGGGAGGGTCGTGAGAGGGCACAGTTAAAATCAGGCTGAGGATAAAGGAGAGATGGCCAGCAATAGTTTGGGATGGGATTTATCCTTTGGTCTGGCTGGGTCCCCTGATGCCCACTTAGGGAAGCTCCATGATTTCAAGTGGTCGCCTGGTAGTAGGCAAGTTCTTAAGTCACTACCATATCTTGCATCAACTTTAATGAAATGCCTCCCATCCAGGGGGAGACAATGATAGAGGAACGGAGACCCCATGGTTTTTGGACAGTTAAGTCATTCTTATCTCAATTCTATCTGCCATCCTGCCCTCACAACTGAGTTCTCAGCTGAGTCACTGAGCTAAGCACCCCCAAACAAAGGTATCTTAAGCTTGACCAAAAGCCTTGTCTAAACTGCTGCCCTCTCTCTTTCCAGGTGACATGCCCTCGTCCCCAAAACACACAGTTATAGGACCTTGAGGATGAGTTTCTTTCCATCCTACAGCCAAGCTTCACCAGCAGAAGGATGAATACAAAAGCAAACAAACAGAATGACCAATTAACTGCTATTGCAGCTATCAGACCTGGTCTACAAATGTTTATTTATTCCCTCTAAAGTAAATTATAGCTAACTAACAGCTTCCTTCCCATTGGGCTGGCAAGAGGCTCAAGGGTGGGTCAAGGGTCTGCCATGGCACCCTGTGTCAGAGCATTGCACAGGCCCTTTCAGTCACCGTGGGTCGGCAGTCTTGTGGGTTCCACTTGAACCTCCAATGGTCTGGCCTCCCATGATCCCAAAGGAGGTTTTTCATCTCCATTGCTAAATATGGGATAGGAAATCTGGTGATGCAGATGGACTGTAAGCCTAGGACCCCACCATCCCTTCTGACGGCTTTACATCAATGCCCAGGGTGCTGCTGTTGGACATGTGCATGCCCCCCATATTCCCAGATTCACCAACTTTCTCTCCAACATTTCCACTCTCCTTCAGTGAATAAACCAGCTTCTCTCATCCTACTCTCCCTCACCAGTTTCTTTCTCTTAATCCTCTAGGGCGTGCATCATAGTCTTTTCTATGAATTTAGCCTTTAACAGAACATAGGAGGCACCTGAGACTTCTGACAGCCTCTGCTTTCTGTCCTTCAAAAATCCCTAAAGCAGAGAAATGCTAAGAACCCTTCTAGCTGCTTGGAATGGAAAGAGAAGGGGAATAGGAAACCCACAGAGAACAAACTGGAAGCTCAAGGAGGTGTGTGGGCCCAGGTGAACAGGGATCAAGAGTAAAAATGAACACAAAGTTCTGACCACTGTCCTTGGATTTATGCAAGACCATTCCTACCCACATCCCTTTTCTTATTTCCCTCTTCAATTCCATCTCCCTCATCTCCTGTTATTACCTAGAATGCCACACATGTGAATTATATACTCCAGAAACAGAGAGAGAGAAAGACACACATAAAACACATAAAACTCAGGGTTCAGGGTGAAAAGAAAATGGGTGTCTAATGGTGACACCTACTAAAAACAGCTCACATAGAAAACAGACAAGAACAGCTCTTCTTAAGTTTATCTCTGGGCACAGGAATTTTCTAACTGCCAACCTTCCAAAGACATGCTAGAATCCAAGGCCTAGTAGCATTAATGGGAAAACGGCTCTCTGATGGGAATTCCTCAAGGTATATAGCTCATTTGGGGAATTTAGTGATGCTCTTCTGGATAAAAACTAGAGTCTTACTCCTTCCCTAATGACTGCTGCCCAGACAACTGACCAGTGCAGTTAACCTTATCTCTAGTTATTGGCAACTTAATCTCTAGTTACAAGACTAGAACAGGGACATGACACACTTTGCTAATTTATACCCTGGTCCTCTCCTCAGTTTTCCATTTTTTACCTCCAGCTCCTTCAACGCCACTTCACGAGATAAATTTTTCAGTCCTCTCTTGGTCTGGGGCAGGCCAACACTACTCTGATTTGTCCTATCCCCTTTATAACCAGGGTACCTGAATGGAACATCAAATTCTCAACTAGATTTACCTCCCTCATCAGTGAAACTCTACCTCTACACACCTGCTGTATACATGTGGGCATGCAACGCGTGTTCACACCCCAATGTGCCTTGCAAGTAGTAGACACCCTGTGTATGTGGAAGCAATCAGCTAGCAAGGCAAAAGCATGCTTTATATTTTGGGATAGCTACATCCTTGTAACTCCAAACGGACTTCTTCTTTGTGCATGCTCTGCCTAATCACTGTCCTTCTTCCTACTTAAAACAACAGTTCAGACTTAAAAAGAAGGTTTGAAGTATGAATTATTCAAGGTCACAAGGAGAAAAATTCACATTTACTGTTTACCACTCCACATCTGCATGACACACGTATCCATGTGTGTGTAGAATCCTGAGAGCCCTGACAGATCACATGAACTGTGGTCACATTTAAAATCAATGACTTTCCCAAGTCATTAGCCACCATCTTATAGGGGTTAAGATTCAGGAAAGTGGTTTTCTGTTGCATGGCATAGTCTCAATAGGTAACCACATATTACCAGTATCCCAAAAGTTAGTGTAAGTAACAATCACTTGAAACTCAAAACAGACTGGAAAGAAATGCAATCTCTCTATGATTTGGAGGAGCCTACAGTATCTCCAGCAATTAGCCACTTCCTGTGCCCAGGGGTGTGTTTAATTGGAACTGCTCCTGCCTGATTTTCTTCCATGCTCCCGCAGGATAAACTGTAATTACCAGGGCTTTGGCCAAATAGAAGAGTCCTAGCCCCCAGAGGAAGGGAAGGGAGAGGATGAGGAGTCAGAGAAAGGGGAAGAGTTATCTAGTCACCTGTGAGCGGCACCTCCTTCCTTCACTTGAGTGACAACGATAGCGTGAGGTGAGCGCTTTGATCCTCGGCCTCCACTAACCTGAATTCCCAGCCCATCCGATTCCTTAAGCAGCTCCATCTTCCATATCCGGCCAACTTCCTCCTTGGAAGAAAAAGTGAGCATACTGTGAAGTATACGGACAGACACGTGGCATTGACACAGGAGAGTGGAGCTGTTAGGTCAGGCCAAATATTCTTCAATTGTCAACAGGTACTGAAGATGACCACAGAAGGAAAAGTTCCATGTGCTAAATCATAGTCTCTAGCTGCCAGTCCTGCCCAAGAGAACATTCTATGATGATGGAAATGTTCTATATTTGTACGATCCAACATGGAGCCACTAGCCACAGGTGGCCATCAAGGGCTTGACTAGTGGCAACTGGGATGTTACATTTTTCATTTCATTTAGTTTACATTAAATTACATAGTTACCTGTGGCTAGTGGCTATAATATTGGACAATAAGAGTGACCATCGAATTTCCTGATCAAGGTTATGTTAAGTAAAGCTTCTTCTGCCTGAAACCCAGATACCACTGTGTGTGTGTAAACACTGGCTGTGTCCGGGTTCCATTTATTTACACACAGCTACTAATAAATAAAGGAAGGTGAAAGGAAGACAAGGATAGGTCTTGGAGACTTCAACTCATTTGAGCCCAGCTCTGCCACTTAGTAATTATGAAAGCCACCTATGCCTAAAACCCTCTGTTTCCTTGCCTCTAAAGTGGGGATAATTATGAATACTTTCAAGTTTGTCATTAGGATTACGTGAGATATTTATGGAAGGAGCAGTGCTTCCGACACCTAGTAGAGACATAATAAATGCTGACTGCTAACCATATATTACTTATGTACGCACACATGTGTTAAAACCATCATACCATAATATGCCCAATGGTACTGCATTAGTGTTGCATAGTGACAGATGGTAGCTATACTTGTGGTGGGCACAACATGGCGGAGTTGGCCAATCACTATGTTGTACGTCTGAAACTAATGTAACATTGTGTGTCCACTACACTTCAATTAAAAAAAATACATCATGTTGAATTGAATCTCAAACTTCCTTAGAACATATAAATGAGATCTTTGGCAAGAGAAACCAAAACAGGAAATTAATTGATGAATTTATTATTGGCTTCTCTAGACATGGGTCTGTACACTTTTTAAATACATTAAAACACCCTAATAAAAATCTATCCTTTTAAAAAGCTAATCATGGGGCGCCTGGGTGGCGCAGTCGGTTAAGTGTACGACTTCAGCCAGGTCACGATCTCGCGGTCCGTGAGTTCGAGCCCCACGTCAGGCTGATGGCTCAGAGCCTGGAGCCTGTTTCCGATTCTGTGTCTCCCTCTCTCTCTGCCCCTCCTCCGTTCATGCTCTGTCTCTCTCTGTCCCAAAAATAAATAAACGTTGAAAAAAAAAAAATAAAAATAAAAAAAAAAATAAAAAAAATAAAAAGCTAATCATGTCTGTAAGTCCTCTGGATTACTGGTAGCTTTTCTACTTTGGTTAATTCTCTTCTTGACTCCCTATTTTATTCCAAGGATGCAAACATATACCCAATACAAAATGTTTGAGTTACCTCAGATACTTGGTTGTTCAGAGAAATGAAAGAAACCTTCCAAAGTGATTTCCTTCGGGAGGGTCTTACTTTATGCTCACTCCTATAAGTTCCTCTTATCTCTAGGTATGTGGGTATGGGTCACAATGCATTCCTCAACATATTAAAAAAAAGCGCCATGTCCTTTCCTCATTCATCATGAAGGTCCAATGGAACCATTACAGTCCAATATGAACAAACCCATCCTCCCCCTAGAAATAGGCAACCTTCCCATTTAAGCTGCTTGCAAAAGAGAAAGAATGCAAAGCATTCAGAAAATCTGAAATACACAGTCAGAAACTAAAATGAAACTTTATGCAGTAGTAAAAAAACCAGATGTTAAATGGTCACTGATGTGCAGCAAAAGGAACGTCTGGGGAAATTATTAACAGAGACAGACCTGTTGGATCTTATGCTTTTTCTACTATAGCACTACTCAGCAGGCCTCCACTGCTCAGCAACATGCAGTGTTTGCCAACGGTCTCCTTCATCTGCTGACCACAGACAAACGAGGCCTGTCTGGCCAAATGTAACTTCAGAAGTCACTGGCTTACCACAGTAGTTCATGAACTTGTCAACAATCCCTATATCATCCAATCATTTCACTTTGGACTTCATGGTTTTTGGTGTGTTGCCTCTGACCTCTGGAATACCTTTCTCTCTTCTCCATTCAGAAACAGCCTCCTTGGCCTTCCAAGTCTCTCACAGCTCCACTATGTCCAAGATGCCATCCTTGAGAATCAGTGCTACTTATGAGATGGCAGTTTTTGACACTTCGAGTACATAAGGCTGTGGCCTAGTGCATAGCCCCAAAGGGAACAAATTCAGAGACGTGCTGATTAGCTATTGTCCCAGCTTGCTGGGCATCCCAAACTAGCACATGGGTTAGCCCCATAGCTGACTCCCTGGGCCTAACAAAGTAGCTGAGAAACTAGAGCGGAATGGTGGCTTGACTTGTTTTTTCCATGGAAGATATGCTATGGCTACTAGGGTCTTGAAGATATGGGACAGTGCTCTTCCCTCTCCCAGTCCAGAAAAGCTGTGAAATCCCTTCCCAAAAGCAAAAGGGACTATTATGAGAGTCCAGAAATAAGCAAACCCATTTGGCTTTAGCCCAAATTAATAAAAACCTATCCATCCCATTACCAGTTACATCTGTCCTACCATCCTTTTGTTAAACAGAACATGTTAAGTATGGTTCACAGATGGTATGACAATACTAGATACATAGTCCTTTCTAATTTAAAAAATTTTTTTTTTCCAACGTTTTTTATTTATTTTGGGGACAGAGAGAGACAGAGCATGAACGGGGGAGGGGCAGAGAGAGAGGGAGACACAGAACCGGAAACAGGCTCCAGGCTCTGAGCCATCAGCCCAGAGCCCGACGCGGGGCTCGAACTCACGGACCGCGAGATCGTGACCTGGCTGAAGTCGGATGCTCAACCGACTGCGCCACCCAGGCGCCCCAGTCCTTTCTAATTTTTAAATGCCTTTAGAAATAGGACTTGAGGGGTACCTGGGTGGCTCAGTCAGTTAAGCATCTGACTTCGGCTCAGCTCATGATCTCATGGTTCGTGAGTTTGAGTCCCACATCAGCTCTGTACTGCTGACAGCTAAGAGCCTGGAGCCTGCTTGTGATTCTGTGTCTCCTTCTCTCTCTGCCTCCCCACACCTCTCACAAATAAATAAACATTACAAAATTAAAAAAAAAAAAAAGAAGTAGGACTTGTGACAAGAAACATGCAAACCTATGATCGTGGAGAAAGAATAATGACCTAACATATACTCTTGACAAAAGAGCTAAAGACAATTTTCAGTAAGAGCACTCACAGGCCCACTCCATTCCCCTGCCCAATATACACACAAATAGTTAAAAGCAAAATAAAGCAAATATCTAATAAAAATGGCTTCAGAAAGTAGGAATGATCAATCTGTAATACAGCCCCCAACAATACAGTCAAGAAACAGATCTTCTTCTTTTCCACTTTTATCTAGTACTATGAGTTTTCTCTCCATACCTGAAAGTAAGAACTATAAGGGGGGCAGGGGGGGACGGGGGAGGGATTCAAAGAAATTAGTGCAAGTTTTCTTGATCATCTAATGAGGAGTTCAAAGATACACAAAGGAAGACACAAACAGGAAGTGCCAGATGTTATCAGTCTCAATTGTACAACTGTCAGTATTAAATCTAGTTGCCTACAGCTGAGAGCAGTGTTCAGTTACAAATAAAATCAGTGTCTGAAGTTTATGAGGCTAAAGCTGGCACTCGCCAAAAATCAACAGGCCAACTTAAATAGAATATTAAGTAGATTTCCAACTGCCTCCTTAGAATTCTGCATGGGTATGTAATACGCACTTCAGTATGGTCAAAACAGGACTCTGCCTCCCTCTCCCTCCTGGCTTTCCCACCTCCATGGGAAAAGCACCATCATTTATGCCAGCTAAAGAGGATATGCAAACTAAAAGCTCGCTAGCTTTGATTCCTCCTTCTATTTCCTATACCCAAACCATGAGCAAGATCTGTAGGCTCTACTTGTAAAATACATCCATGTCTATCTACTCCTGCTCCTTCCTGCCACCACTCTGGTCAAGACCACCAGGATCTCTAATATGGATTATCACAGTAGTTTCCAGTATGGTCTCGTTTTTTTTCCTCATCTCCTACAATACCCTATTCTCCATTATACAACATACATCATGATGCACTCAGCTTAAACCTTCCAACAGCTCCCTAGTAGATGCAGACTGAAGTCCAAATCTTTGAAATGGCGAACACAAACCTCCATCTCTAGCCTTGCCTGCAATCCCAAATCATATCCCCTCCCCCACCTCCGTGTTCTCCCCAGCACTTACTGTCTCTCTATCCCTGGAAGACCCAATCACTCCTGCCTAGGGCAGCCACATGTGCTGCCTCCTCGCTGGAAATATTCTGCTTCTAGATGTTGCACGGCTGTCCTTTCCTGACATTCAGGCTTCGGCTCAAACGCCTGTTTATTTAGGCCTTCAGTGATACCAATTTCAGTTAACCCCACCAGGACACTGCCCAGTCATCTTTCACTTCACCGATTTCATTTATAGTACTTGTTGTCACCATCTAACATTCTGATTCATCTATTTGCTTATTTATTCCCTGTGGCCCCTTATTTGTGTTAAGTGCCATGGCACAGGAACCTTGTCTCTCATTTATCAGTGGGTTCTCCAGCAACTAGAATGGTGCCTAGCACATAACAATACCGTATAAATGCCATAGAATTAATAAATGTGGGATGTTTATACACTCATCCTACAGTTTTTCAGAAGTTATTGAGACTGATGTTAAGAGGCTCACCCAGACGGGATACCTGCACGCTTGCCAATGTTTAGCGTGTGAACACCCGATCCAGTTGTAGAGATGATTGAGTTCTGAAACAGATCCTGTCTAGACAGATGGCTCAAGCCTTTGCTTCCTTTTGCATTGGCTTAAAGGGCAACGAGATTGTCAGCCTGTTGAGAAAAAGCCAAA